CGTCCCCCCCAGCAGCATCCCCCCTGCTTAGGTTAAGGACCCCCTTCCCCTGCGGGGTCTGGGGGGGACCCCCTCTTGCTCCCAGAGCCCCACGCAGATTGGGGTCCCTGAGATGTTTCTCCCCCTCCCAGCTTTTAGCTTCTCCCAGCTACAGGGGTCCCTGCCAGACCCGCCCGGCTGGTGGTCAGGGCAGCAGAGCTGAGCTTGCTTTGATGCCCTTGGTGGGTGGGTTTGGTCCCTTGGCTGAAGCCAGGCCACTTCTCCCCATCAAACAGCCTGGGAACCTGCCTCTCAAGCCTGTAGGGAAGCGGCCAGGAATGGTTTCTGTTGCACGCTCTTTGGGGACGGCATTTGTTTCTCTAGACCCTGGGGGAGGGAAACGTCTGGAGGCATTGGCCAATGCGCTAATAATGCCTCTGGTACCCAGCAAAAGCAAGTTGTTGGCTTGCAAGTATTTGAGAATGCAGCCATGTTGCATCCTCGGCTGTTGCAAAAGCCTCTGGGCTTGGAAATTAAACATCTTCTGACCAGCCCAGATGTTTTTTGGCTGTTTTGGGGGCTGCGATCGCCTCTGCTTGGAGTGGGGGGTGGGGGTAATTTTATTTCTCTGCCTCACTGACTTTCCGTCTTATTTCCAAGCTCCTCTCGCAATATCTTATGGGTGTCCTAGGCCTACTAGAATCTGCTTCCCTCTTTTATGATGCTTTTTAAAAATCTTGTCTGATGTCAGGCGTTTTGGGACACAGATCGTGCGCCCCACAAGACAGCAGCTGGTTGTCTCACGCAGTCAAAACTCCCGTGGAAGTCGGTGGGAAACTTTCCTGCGTACAAACTATCTAGTCTATCAGAATCACTTCTAAGTCCCTCGCTGCCAGGTAAGTCAGGCCTGGATCCACAGTGGGATTTAGGTATTACTACACCCAGCACTGTGATGTCTCAGATGCTCTCGGATGCCCATGCCAGCACTGTGAGCGTCATCCTAGGCTCCTCCCCAGCCTGGCTGGTGACAGCTATTTCTTTCCTTTTTTTTTTTTTTTTTTGAGTTTAGATCAGGAAAAAAGAATCACGCTCCTCTTCCCCCCTGCCATCCCTCAGAGTTAATAACACTGATTTCATATTTTCGGAGAACTCTTAGTCAGCAGCAGGTTCCTTTATAACATCAACCTTGGTACCACAGCGGGTTCTGCTATAGCGGTGCTGTTGTGAGAAAATTGTGATTCATAAAGGGATTATCATGAGTTACATTATGCAGATTCTACGTGCAAGAGAACCTCAATTTCTCAAATGATTTTGGAGAGCTTCTCCTGGCTCACGGGTGCCCCGATTTCCCATGGCGCTGAATGTCAACAGCTCCATTAACTACAACAGCAACTGGAGGACTTTGCATGGAGGGCCTGTCGTGTGTGATGGGTAGAGCGAGGGGTTAGCTGTTCATAAGCCTGAGTTTTCTTCCTGGTTTTGCCCTCGCTTCCGATTATGACTATGGGGAAAGTCACTACGCCCTGTTTTGGCTCAGTTTCCAAGTCTCTAAAATGTAATTACAGACAGACTTTTGGTTAGCTGGGAACTGAAAGTCCAATACTGGGGATTTACTCTACAGGAAGTACATCTTCTTTGTAATGACTGGTGGGATCACAGCTCTACAACAGCAGGAGTGTTTACTTCATCTTGAAAACAAACCGGAAAGCTGTGCAAAAAAACCCCAAATCTAGACTTTTACTGTCTCGACCATTTTCATTTTATGAATCAGGGGAATTTTAAATTCGTACCGTAATTTCCTGCTGGTACCTAGTCAAACCCCACCGTGACACATAGTCACGCCTGTCAGCTACAGATTTAATTAAGCAGATCTCTAGATTACCACGCAGGTTTGAAATTGTCTTTTGGATTTTGATGATCAATGTACATCAAAGTGAGCACTTGTCTGTATGTGTGAGCAGCTAGTGTGTTTCTCATCTCTAGCAGCCGCTTACTTCAAATGGCTGAGAAGGCGACTAGAGGCACTCAGGATGTCCCCAGCTCATCCCCTGATGAAAATGAATTCCCTTTCGGCTATCCCACCAGCATCTCTGAGGATGTGCCTGATGCCAAGTACCTGTGCAGCAACTGCAATAACATCTTAAAGAAAGCCATGCAGACACTGTGTGGGCATAGATACTGCTTGGCTTGTCTGTCCTGGATCGTACGGTAAGTTCTTTTAGGACACCACGTGGTAAGGCGTCTCTGCCTAGAAAACAAGAGACTTCAGATGGCAGGTGCTGTCTTCCCCATAGAGAGGTCTGTTGTGATAACGTGCTCCAAAAGAAAGGAAGTGCTGGGGAAGAGACTTTTAGTAACTGGGCTGTTGGACAGTAGGGATTTGATCATCCTTGTATACTTAATTAGTGTAAGGTGCAGGGGTATTTTGCATGTATTTGTCTGTATAAGGTTGGAATGTGATCTAACAGTTATGGAGAGGGGCTGGATTTGACTGGATTTGGTTCTGCACTGACATGCTGTATAACTGTGGGCAAACCTCAGGCTCTTTCTACTTCCTTTTCTCATCATTAAACTTGAACTAATCCTACTTATTTACTCCTTAGGGCTCTTGCAAAATCGGCTCAATCTCACAGTGCTTTGCAGTCTATAAAAAGTGCTCTGGAAGTTTAAAATACTGCTCTGTTTTCAGTTCACAAACC